AATATATGTACATACACCAATACCTCTATTTTTATGAATTAATGTATTTACATAAGTACATGCCTATGTTTATACCTTCATCCACAGCTTAAAAAAATTTTATTGGGGGCTCGTACAGCTCTTATCACAATCATCCATTCATCCATTGTATCAAGAACATTTGTACCTTTGCTGCCATCATTTTCAAAACATCTTCTATTTCAGCCCTTGGTATCAGCTCCTAATTTTTTTCCCTCCCTCATGAACCCTTGATAATTTATAAATTTTTATTTTTCATGTCTTACACTGACTGTTGTGTCCCTTCACCCACTTTTCTGTTGTCCGTCTCCCTAGAATCTATATGTAGATCACTGTGATCAGTATGCTCCTCTCTCCTCCCACCTTCCCTTTCTCCTCCTGGTATCACTACTCTCATTATTGGTCCTGAGGGGTTTATCTGTCCTGGATTCCCTGTGTATGCAGCTCTTATCTGTACCCATGTATATGCTCTGGTCTAGCCAGATTTGTAAGGTAGAATTGGAGTCATGATAGTGGGCGGGGTGGGGTGAGGTAAGCATTAAAGAACTAGAGAAAAGTTCTATATTTTATCGGTGCTATGCTGTACCCTGACTGGTTCGTCTCTTCCTTGTGAGTCTTCTGTAAGGGGATGTCCAATTGTCTATAGATGGGCTTTGGGTCTCTACTCCACACTCCTCCTCTTTCACATTGATATGATTTTTTTTTGTTCTGGGTTATCCATCGTTTAGCTTCCTAGATCATTCCTCTCATTTCCTTTTACCTTTTTCCTGCTCCACCACCACACTTGCCCTACTTCCACCTCTTAGTACTTCCTCTCAGCTAGATTGCTGTTGCTCCAACACTCCCAGGATCTCTACTGTCCTCGTTGATTATAATTCTCTAGTTGTTCCCCTGTGAATGCTGCTGTTTGCTGACAGTTCCCTTCCCCGCCCCCAAGTCCCTCCAGAACTGTTGGTCCCATTGTTTTCTTCTCAAGTTTGTTTCCCATGCTTCTGAATTTTCTGGTTGAAGAGCAGGTGCTCCTGGACACCATCTTGACTCTCAACCCCTTAGTTTATCTTTATATTTTTCTTTCTTTCTGTTTCATTTTTTTTTTATTGTTTTATTGGGGTTCCCAGCGTTTGTGAAGCACAGGGGTAGATGTATAGACAATAATCGATGCAATGGTTTATTGAGAAGAGGGATTGGGAAGTGGGGGGAGGATGAGGGGGATTGGGGAGCAAACAATGAAAGTGGGAGAGGGGAGGGAGCATTAGAACTGATTGTGATGATATATATATATATATATATATCTTGATTTAAAAGCGATTTAACTAAGGAAGTGTTTGACAGTTGTACATACCCATGGTAACTATCACATGCCCATGACTCAAGTGATGCTCCTGTCCAATGACCATCTTCGAATTCCTAGCATTTATGGGCATGTTATTTTACACGGCAAAAGGGACCTTTATAGACTTTGAAATAAGATTATAATGAATTATCTGAGTGGGCCCAAAGTAATCACCCAAACCAGATTCCAGCCCCACTGCCATGAAGTTGATTCCACTCATAGAGGTCTTAGGGAGGGCTTTCTGAGACTATACATCTTTAAGGGAGTGTACAGCTTCATGTTTCTATCCTGGAAGAAGTTGGTAGGTTTCAACCACTGGCTAGCTCTTGTTATGCTGTTGTTAAGTGCTGTTGAATTGGTTCAGACTCCTAGCCACCCTGTGTACAACAGAATACAATGCCCAGTTCTGAGCCATCCTCACAATTGTTAAGTTTGAGCCCATTGTTGCAGGCACTCTGTCAGTCCATCTCCTTGAAGGTCTTCCTCTTTCACTGACCTACTTTCCAAGCATGGCCTCTTTTAGGGACTGGGACATGTTCAAAGTATGAGAGACAAGTCTTGCCAACCCTGTTTCCAAGCAGCATTGTGGCTGTACTTCTTCTAAGACAGATTTGTTTGAAGGCAGTCCATGGTATTTTGACTATGTTTTTGCCAGCACAGTTCAAATGTACCAAATTGTCAGTGCCCATATTATGGCTCCTTTATACCATCTCACAAAGTGATCAAAGGCTGGCCTGTTTGGCTATTATGAATATGTAAAAAAATGAGGATATTTTGAGTGTTTCAATTACAGAATAATGCCCAAGCGAAAAGAAGGTATACAGGTGTGTATGCATAAGATACCTAGAAAAATATGAGAAACTGACAAGTGGGTATTTGGATGACAGAGATAAGGCCTTTTACCATTTATCCTTTAGGATTTTATACAATGTTGCCATTAATTGGTAAAAACATGCATCTTTGCATTGCTATAGCAAATACTGGTTTAGAGAAGGCAGGATCCTTTGTCTAAAGTGGTCTCACCCCCCCCCCCCCCCCCCCCCCGCCCCCAATCTGGACCTGTCTTTTGAGGGCTAAGGTGTGTCCCCGCAAAGCCATGGTATTTTCAGTGGCCTCATGCATGTGAAAGTTGGACATTGAAGCAACAAAGCCCACATGGAAGCAGCACATCAGCCTGTGTGACCATGAGGTGCTGAAGTTATCAGGCATCAAAGAAATAAAAAATCATATCCTTGTGGGCTCACCTTTCCCATACGATCACTGAAGACAAATGGGTGCATAAGCAAATGTGGTGAAGAAAGCTGATGGTGCCCAGCTATCAAAAGAGATTGTGTCTGGGGTCTTAAAGGCTTGAAGGTAAACAAGCGGCCATCTAGCTCAGAAGCAACAAAACCCATATGGAAGAAGCACACCTGTCTGTGTAATCATGAGATGTCAAAGGGATCAGGTATCAGGCATCAAAGAACAAAAAATCAAATCATTGTGAATGAAGGGGAGTACAGATTGGGGACCTAAGACCCATCTGTAGGCAACTGGACATCCCCTTACAGAAGGATCACGGGGAGATGAGCCAGGTAGGGTGCAGTGTAGCAAAGATTAAACATACAACTTTCCTCTAGTTCCTAAATGCTTCCTCCCTCCCACTATCATGATCCCAATTCTACCTTACAAATCTGGCTATACCAGAGGATGTACACTGGTAAAGATAGGAACTGGAAACACAGGGAATCCAGGACAGATGATCCCTTCAGGACCAGTGGTGAGGGTGGCGATACCGGGAGGGTGGGGTGGAAAGGGGGAACCAACTACAAGGATCTACATATAACCTCCTCCCTGAGGGATGGACAACAGAAAAGTGGGTAAAGGGAGATGTCGGACAGTGTAAGATATAACAAAATAATAATTTATAAATTATCAAGGGTTCATGAGGAAGGGGGGAGCGGAGAGGGAGGGGAAAAATGAGGAGCTGATACCAAGGGCTCAAGTAGAAAGCAAATGTTTTGAGAATGATGATGGCAACAAATATACAAATGTGCTTGACACAACAGATGTATGTATGGATTGTGATAAGAGTTGTAAGAGTTCCCAATAAAATGATTAAAAAAAAGTTTGATATTGAAAAGGACTGAGGAAATGTTTGAATTACAGTGCAAAGAATATTAAAAGTAGCATAGTCTGACAAAAGATCATAGATGTTTTAGACGAAGTACAGCCAGAAGAGAATGCTCCAAGCAAGGATGAGACTTTGTCCCACATATTTTGGACATGCCATCAGGAGGGCCTCGTCCCTGGAAAAAGGGCATCATGCTTGGTCAGGTTGGTCAGTGGGAATGAGGAAGACCCTGGATGAGGCAGGTTGATGGACTCAGTGGCTGCACCAGTGGGTCAAACACAATGACTGTGAGGATGGTGCAAGGCAGGGCAGCATTTTGTTCTGTTATACGCAAGATTCTTGAGTCAGAGCCAACTCAGTGGCACTCAACAATAACATTACTTTTCTGATGAAGTTGGTTGAGTTCAAAGTACGTTTTATTTTGCATAAATACTTATATTACAAAAGTAGTAAAATTTACTATACGTGGAAATCACAACTGCCCAAACTGGCAATAAGAGAAAAAGCAATGGTTAGGGACAGAGGGAAGGGACAGGTGGTAAACCATCACCATTCTTAGGGCAAATGACTCTAAGTATTATTTTAAAATCCTAAATGTTAAGTAAATAAATCTATTTATCGTAAAGGGCTCAAATGGACAAAAAAACCAAACAAAAATGAGGCCAAGGCTTAAGAAACAAGAGTCTGATACAGAAAACAAGGGAAGGGCATGGCATCTCAGAAAGAGATAAAGGAGAGGGGCTAGGATTGGCTGGGGGGCTTGTGCTGAGTCAGCAGGTTTCCGCAGGTCCTTCTTCAAGGCTGCAGTGTTTATGGAGCGCTTGGCAGCGTGTGCTCAAAGGGCTGGTGACATTGGGTTCTCTCAGTAAGTTCTGATGGATTGGAGGTCCTGACATCACAGGGTGGATCATTTCTCCGTTGGGATGTCTAGTCAGATGTCACGCTCAGAGATCGCGTTGGGGTGTTAACAGGGTGTGTGGAGCTTCACCACAGGCACATTGTAAGGGTAGTCACTGGGAAAGTCTAGGGAGAGCTTATACTTCAGGTCTTTATACACTGTGCTTGCTCAATGGATGGTTCCCGTCTATGTGAAAGAGTTGTCTGACTCAGGGAAACCAAAAATCGTCTCACTCGTCATTGAGTTGATGCTGACTCATAGTGACCCTTATAGGGGAGGGTAGAACTGCCCTAGGAGTTTCCAAGACTAAGTGGTTCTCTCTTGGAGTGGCTGGGGTTTTTTGAACTGCAGACCTTGAGGATTGCAGCCCATGTGTAATCACTATGCTGCCAGGGCTCCAGCTAGATATCATAGAGCCATCAATTCCTGCTGTAGCCTCTTGCCCACAGAGGCTCAGGTGGTATCCTCCCTGCGCTTGGCCCCTTTTCTGATGGCGACGGCACTGTCCGCAGCTGGTTGCAGCTCTGCGCCATTTGCAAGGTCTTATTTAAACTTGTGTGTACTTAACATCTAATTAATCTCTTGGGATGCTGATTTAAATAGAAAAAAAGAGACAATAAGGAAATTTATCTTTAAAGTCAGCCTTGAAACAATAATTCCTCACCTTTATTTAACCCTTTATTTTCACATACATTAATTCCCTTTGGTTCTTCAATATCATGTGAAGCAGAGTTGGGCAGATTTTATATTGGTTTCACATATGAAGGGAAGAAAAGACAACCAACTAGAGATGCTGACTTGCCTAAGGCCACATGCTTTGTATGAGCGGGAACCAGTACCCTGGGTCTCTCATTGCAGAAATGTCCCTGCCTTCCACTTGCATTGCTTTAAGCTCCAACTCATCACTCACCCTGATACCTACACCTCTGAAATCACAATTTAGCTTCCTGATGTTTATATAACAACTTTACTATGGTGCTGTATTCCTTGTATCTGTCAACTTAAAATATATCAATATGTGATTATTTTTTCACCACTCAAAAGTTTTAGTATGTATCGAAGATTCTGGACCGAAAAATGGGCAAAGAGAAGGAATCTCAAAATAACCTTTTACAAATTTCTAAAACCCTTCACATTATTAAAACTGCAAAGACAAAAATATGATTTACAATATACTTGCCATTATGATATAGGTAAGAAAATAGTCCCCACAATATTAATTCATCCTATCAAAATTTCTAGTATAAGAATGGTAGTATTCATATGCTTATAAATAGAAAGATAGCTATTCAAAAGATTTTTGGATATTCTTTGGTGTTCATAAAAGCTATTTACTGTAAAGCCTTTTTAGACTGTACATGATTTACAGTGGAAATAAAAAATACAAACTAGATATTCATATACAAAGTAGTAATAGGATATTTTGATTTCATGGTGTTCCAAGTGTTTATGGGCAGATTTTACTTTTTAGACCTTAAAACCACCACCTATTCTTTACTTATGCATTCACATGTTCCAGAAACAGAAGGGAATAAAAAGCATATCCAAAGGTAGCGAATTCTCCTCTGAGTTCACAATTATTTTGAATTTTCTCAACTAGCTGCTCTACAGTATGTGGAGCTAACTGGAGAAGCGAAAAGCCTAGCATTGTTTGGTCATCAACCTGATCAGCAGCTTGGGGCACGAGATCTGAGAAAGGAAGTCCTCTTTCTCTGAAGGGAGACAGTGAAGGGGTAACGTGGACAACCTCAGTAAAAATTCTGTGCCCTAATAAATCACTCGTTTGAAAATTATTACCAAAAGTAAAAAATTTATTTTGCAGAGTGGTTTTGTAAACATCAAAAATTTAATGTTACACTTCCCTATTCTCACTGCTTGATTTATACCAGTGGGGAAGCTTCTCCCAAATAATTTAGTATACATTTAAAATGGCAACACAGATTGCACTTATAGACTTAAAAGTTGGAATTAGAAACCAGTTTTATGTACAGAAAATTCATAAATATAGAATGTTTATTTCTATCTTATCCATAGGCTATGCAAAAATGGACTTAAAAAATCACTTTTTCATTGGGTCTCTGTAATAAACATGTACATACATATTTACACTGGAAATGCTTTCTGAACATAAAGTCAATACACAAAGTCTTCACTAGATCCATCATTAGTTGTTCATTTTCTAAGATGATGTGATACATTATGCTTGTTCAAATTTTAAGATTCCATTTATACACATAATTCAAATAATAATTATGTTATTTGTACAATCATTGCTTCATTCTGCATGTAAACACCTTTAGGAGAGTCTTTGATCCAAAAAGGAGTTAAAAAAAATTCAAATACGGTAAAATGCTTCTGTACAATTATGTGCAATTTTCTTCCTGCTGGCAATACCATAAATACTGTGATCATTTAATCTCCACTGTTCATTCCCCAGAGGTATTTATTGAGTTCTCACATGATGTAAGTACCATCTTTGTAGCAGTTCATGGACTCCATTTGTTTTGTCATAGCCAGAACATCATGAAACCCAGTACTCAGGCCAGACATATGCTGAAAGTATGCCTCTTTTTCCACCTGCACCGTTAAATTATTTACTCCAGCATCTTTAAGTATTCCTGTAACCTGATGATAAAAACCCAGAAATTTTAAAGTTTATTATTTATTTAGATTAAAAACATGCATGTCTTAATATAGTGTATTATAACTATATACATATATAGAATGGAATATGTGAGTTTATTAAAGAGACTCTTCAGGGACACGGAAGAGCGTTTCACTAACCTTAGGGCCCTTACTGGATATAAATTACATTTTTGTACTATTGATGGTGGACCTTCTGTTAGTGGCTGGCTTTTCCATCTAAATATACATTTTAACTGATACATTTTTTAGAGCTACAGATAGACAAAGATAAGTCCTCAGTTTATTATTTAGTCAGAATGCTACACAGGCTTTTTCAGAAGGTGTGTCAATTACTCTCGGGTCACTCCAAGTAGAAAAGGAAAACAACTATCGTCTCCAGTGGGTTCATCCGGCAGACCAACAACGGAATTGTCTGGATCCCTTTCTCCAGCTCCAGTGTGCACATATGCCTACCCTAGCAACTGCTAACTAATTTAGCTACATTTGTAGTAAGCTGCGATCGTATGCCTGAATTATCTCAATTGACTATATATATAAAAAAGAATTAGTACCTGCTGTACTATTCTTTGTTCCAGCACATCGGACGTCACCTGTATATGAACTGTTCCTGCCACAACATTGGCAGAATGACGCCAAAAGTGAGGGTCTCGGTATGATATTAAGCCTTCAATTTTCTGTATCTGTCAAATGAAAAATTGGATAGATAAGTTTTACACATTTACTTAAGATACAACAATCCTTTTGGCCCAAGAGTCACTATTAAGCATATTAGAGAGACAGAGAGTGAGAGAAATCATATTAGAAGTTAAATCAAAGCCAAACTCAGTCGCCCAGTCGATGCTGACTCAAAAGTTTGGAGGAGAAAGGTGAATGGAGGCTACCCGTATCTTTCAGCCTCTTAAAGCCGCCTGGGCTGCGTAAAAAGGTTATTTTGTACTCTCCATTGTCTCCCTAAGTCTGCGGTTCTCAACCTGTGGGTTGCGACCCCTTTGGGGGTCGAACAACCCTTTCACAGGGGTCGCCGAAGACCGTCGGAAAACATTTCCAATGGTCTTAGGAACTGAGGCACTATCCTCTATCCATCTCCAGGCCGGTCTGCCCACATGCAGACATGCCCACATACGAGTACCCGGCATGAAGACTGTTACCCATGCGACACCATGCTTCAAGACAAAATTTCATTTATTTGTAGTTAGAAAAATACATCCTACATATCAGATATTTACGTGACAATTCATAACAGAAGCAAAATTACAATTATGAAGTAGCAACGAAAATAATTTTATGATTTTTGGTCACCACAACATGAAGAACTGTATTAAAGCATCGCGGCATTAGGAAGGTTGAGGGCCACTGCCCTATGTGATCACGGTTTGCTAAGCTCAGGACTTTTTTCCTTTTTTGCCCCCTTTCCCTTCACCTATGTTAGGAGTAAAGGTTGGAGTTCGAAACCCACCAGCGGCTCTGCAAGGTAAAGATGAGGCTGTTGACTCCTGTAAGATGATTTACTACATTTTAGAAGACCCCTATCAGGTTGCTAACGGTCAGAATCAACTAGATGGCAGTAGGTTTTCACCTGAATTACTGTGTCTACCCTCTAATTTTTTTGGCATTTTAATTTATTTTAAAATTATATAGGAAACAACTAGCAAGTGTTTCTTTCCAGGTGGCAAAATGATCTGTATTGGTATTAATTTTTCTCCTAGCTTTGGATTATTATGTAGCTTGAAGCTTTCTGTAGTCAACATATATTACTTTTGAAATAAAAAAAAACAACATTTACTTTTAAAAGGTGGATATAGTACTCACTTATACATGAGAGGGTAAGAATATCTTACTAAATTTACTTATGGAAATAGTGGATTAAGCTAATACAGCATATGCTATCACATATATATTTAAGATGCTAGCGTTTTATCAGTAGATGACAATTCCTTAATACAACATGGCAAACCACAAAGTGGAAGACATTCTACTCTGGATTTACTTTTTACTTGTTTAAAAGCTTAATCCAATCCTACGAGACTGCCTTATTTTTTTTAAGGATTACGATAATAGACTTTTCTCTTTAATACATCATGTAAAAATTTTTTTGCTGGTCTGCCTTTTGTACTTCATATTTGTTAATGGAATCTTTTGCCAATCTGTATATTTGGTTTCTAGCTTCATTACAAAATTAATAATATGGTCTTATCTCCATGATCATATAAGCATTCTTCTATTTTACAGCTTCATTATTTTTCAGTCATATAATCCTCTGGGAATATATTTATATGGTATTGGTATAGAGATAAAGCTTTTCCTTCCCTCCATGTGGAAATGTAATTGACCTAAAATTACTTAACTAGGCCAACTCTTCCTTCCACTGATCTGAAACGTCATCTTTACCATGTACTACTAAATTCTCCCAAGTTCCCTGATGACCTATTTCCCCCTCTGTTGGTTTATGTGTTTATTCTTAAGATCAAGCTATTAGTTTTGTTAGTTAATTCTATAACTTCATAATAACAATATAGGATCTAATGACTTTTGTTAATCCTATAAATAAATGCATTTCTTGCTTATTCTCAGGTATTAACTGTCCCAAATAAGCTTTAATATTGGATTATCTATTAACTCTGCTGCTTCTCCACCCCAAACCAAAATCAAAAGTAAAACAAGTCCCAATGAAAGGTAATTAGATCACGATAGGGGAGAAAAATCAGGATTTGCACAATAGTCTTTGCCAAGAAAATATCTCTTTCCCGTTAATCCAGCCCTGCTGTGTACGTTTCAAGTAAAATCATGTTTGTTTTGTTTTTTTTTCTCTTTTATTTCTCTCTTGCACATTCCCTGCTAGGTCATACTGAATTCTACTTGCTTTTATAAAAAGGAAAATATAATGAAGAACTGTATACAGTACCTTTTCTAAAGCAATATGTATCTCTTTTTCATATTCAGGTGGCAGTCTCAGAAGTAGGACCTGACAGGCATCTTTAATCAGTGGGATAACACTAAGAAATATTAATATAGCAATAAAGAGAGAACAGAGGGGATCAGCAATGAACCATCCAAACTGCTCTATCAGAATCGTGGATACGATCACACCAATACTGCCAAGTGTGTCTGCCAAAACATGTAGAAACACACCTACAAATGAAAGATGAAAATACAAGAAATTGTAGTTACATCTAATTTCGTTCTTTTGCCCATTTTACAAATATTACTGAATACCTACCCTGTATAACTATTATACCAAACAGATTTCAGCGGAGCATCTGGACTAAGGCAGGCTTGGCAAACTAGTACTGAAAATCGACCAATCACAATTAGTCTAATCCTGCTGTTTGATGGTGTAGGACTGGGCAGTATGGGGTTGCGTAAGTCAGGTACAGACCCGATGGCTGCAAACGATGAGGACTCTGTACCAGGCACTATGCTGAGGGCTGGAACTTCACACATGACTGAAACCATAGCCACTTACTTCCCTTATGGTGCCCACAGCCGAGCAATAACAAGGTTTAAGTACACGGGCAACTATGACAACTATGACGTGTGGTGGATTTTGTGACAGTACCATCCACGTGGAATGCTTCTTAGGAACCACGCTTAAGCCAAGTCTTGATATTATGCAAATCACTTATATGAGTATTAAACAATGAGAACAATTTAAAACATTTAATGAATAATATTGCACCCATTTTTTAATAGCACAATGAAAAAGTCCTAGTTTATTTGCAGTGAAAGTTCATTATGGTATATTTATTGTTTCCCTTGTAAATAATGTCTATTTAATTGCTATTATGAAAAGAACTCTGTAATCACAATTAACTTAAAAATGGATGCTCACAAACAAATATGAATTTGTTTCTATACAGAAACCAGTTTAAAAATTTTCTTATTAGTTTAATTTTCTATTTCTTTTTTTTAGCTTTTCTTAAATAGGCAATTGATCCAAATTGTAACTTTTATCCTTCGGTTTGAGTGTCATCAAAAGCACATTATACATTTTATTAAAAAGTTTTCTTGGTATCTATTGAAAGGATAAAATACTTGTTCTTTATTAGTGTATGACATGGCTATATATTCTGTGGAAACCTTATTTAAAAAGAAACATGGCATAGCTAAACATCCTGATAATGAGAGAACCCATTTTATTTTAGGTTATTTTAAAAACTGGTTTTGGGAAAGGTATTACTGCTACAGTTTTTTTATTACTTCGAAGTAATAGAAGTGCAGAAGCCACACATAGGGCCATAGTTGACTTCTTCTGGCATCTATATTGCCAGGAGTCGTAAGTCAGACATGCCTCTAACCTTTGTCCCTCTTTATTCTATTCTGACACCAACTTTCCTCCCACAACACTCTACTTTTTGCTGGATGGGTTTGATAATTCATTACAATGGCCATACAGAACTCACAGTCCAGACTCACAATTGTGGGGATATACTGGGGGACTTAGCAGGTTATCACAAGTCATGATCAGTACGCAGCAGGGAAGAAACCATTCTATAGCATAAGACTTCATCTCTTTTTCAGCCATGGCTTGCTTTGTGAAAATAAAACTGTACCAGAACAAAGGGGAGCTGATATCAAGGAGTTCAAGGAGAGAAAATGTTTTGAATTTGATTGTGGTAGCAATTGTACAATACTGCTTGATGTGTTTAAGCTGTGGGATGTTATGATATCTGTAAGCGCTCCTAATAAAATGGTTAAAAAAAAAATCTTTATCAGAAGCTGAATAGTCAATACAAATAACAACAGAGGTGTTTCTGAGAACAAACTTGAAAGGTGGCGTCTTTGTCAAGGACTCACTCACCCCTCATGTTTGCATTCATGCCTCCACGTGCAGATCCATGACTGTGCCCGTGCCCATGGTCAGTGTGTCCGTGCGCGTGCGCGTGGTGGGAATGGCTGTGATCGGACAAGTGACAGCTTCCTTGAGAAGCTCCGTGGCTGTGACTGTGGGCATGGCTGAAGGCACAGATACCAATGAGGTTTACGAGCAGCCCTCCAATGGAAACGGGCTAGGAAAGGGGAGGAGAGAAAACCTGTAAATTTGTAAATTCTTCATGAACTTACTTCTGCAAAGTTACTAAATAATTACGATGTTCTTCTGTTTAGTTTGAAAAGTATTGGCAGTAAGCTTTGCTATGTTCAGTATATAAATATAAAACTTTTAAAGTATGAATTTTAGAGGAAAGATTTTAACTTTCATGTACCAAGAGATAAGAACTGGCTTTAATTACATGACCAATAACAACATGTACTTGGTTCACAGATTACATATAATTAAACGGTACTAGGACTGTGTTTAAAGGGTTTGGAAGTATTGCTTACAGGTATACACATACCTGTACCTGAATTCCTGTTTATATTATAAACACATTTCAACAGTTTTTAATGGTAGTGGTTGTGATTATTTAATAAATATAATCTTATTATGTCTTACATATAGTAAAATACTAAAGTAAAAGCACCTACAACCCAAACCAAAAAAACTACTCTCTTTCTTGGGGGTACCCCCCGAAACCGGAATCTTTTCTCCAAAGCTATGCTACTTAAGTTTTTTTTACAAAGCAACCCTATCATCTTCAAAGTACTTTCCATTACACTTAATATATTTGTCAAATCTGCAACTCCATTCTTGGAAACATTTTTCAAACTCTGTTTTTTTCTTCACCAATTCAATGGTAAATTACTGTCCTTTCACATCCCTCTGCATTTGTGGAAACAAAAGGTTGCATGGAGCGAGGTCAGGTCAGTCAGGTGTGTGGGGCGAGAGAGGCAATGCTGTTTTTTGCCAAAAACTGGCAGAGATAGCTACAGGAAGAGGTGCAAAATTAGTCCCCAGTCTGCCACAAATCAGGCCTTTTTTGTTGCAGTTAAGCAATCTTGTCAGAACCTCCAAATACTCGTAGAAAATAGTCTGACCTGGTGGGATGAATTCCAAATGACAGTGCCCATGCCGACAAGTTGACATTTTTGTCTATTTGGGAAGTTGACAGATATCTACAATGAGGTTTAATATCAATCCATGTTTCACCTTTTTTGAAATGAGAAAACTACTTGACACTTATGACTTTTTCTCATAGCTCTGTCCTTGTAAGTTGTGTTCAACAACATAACAGTTTCTGCAGCATTTTTCCCGAGAAGGAAACAAAATTTCACAGCAGCATGCTGTTCTCCTAAATTGGCTATCACAAAAAACGGGGTTTGGGCAAAACTGCTTTTAAAAAAATATTCACTGTGACCAGAGAGAAACTTCCCAGGTGATGCCAATGTGTGCACTACCACAGAGCGAGTTGCCCGATGCTTGCCTAGCAGGGGAAAAAAAATGCATACTACGAAAGCTCCACCTAGCGGGGCTCTTTTCCATTTTTTTGGGGGGGACACCCTCATATGCTCTTGCATTGTAATCGCTCCTCTTGATTAAACGGTGTATTAATGAACACTCTAAGAAATTAAATGAAGTTACTTCTCTGCACTATTCTTTGTTTAAGTAGTAGCACAGAAGTTATTTAATTTACAAACATCTACAATTTCCCTTTTTGGGACATATATTTGTTTTATATGTTTTAAAATTATTTTAACTAGTCCCTTTCATTGATGGGAACTGAGTTGCTTCCATTTGTCCCTCACTTTACAAACAAGGATACAATGAATGATGTCCTGCTATAGGTTCTTGTGAATGTTTCTGTATGATAAACATTACATAAAGATCAAAGATATTTATTTGAACATCCAATACTTCCAAACTGACCACAAAAACATTTTACTAATATATGCTTCTACCAACAAAGCATGTTTTTATTCATAACTGCTTTTAGTCCATTCAACAACTAAATGTGCATTTTTTCTTTATAAGCTATGTGCTAGAATTTGAATTCATGAAAGATAAGCAGTTCAGGTTTTGAATTGACTGGCACATCTTTCATTAACTGTGTATCTTTTTCTTTGTTGGAGACACCTTAATTGTGGAAGAATGACAAATGAAACTGTAATTCCAGTGCTGCTAGTAGAACCCTGCATGGCACAGTGCGAATATGGAGAAAGGAAACTGATAAAACTTTGAGGGGGAGGGAGGGATTCCACACCTCATCTATGAGGCAAGGCATGGAGAAGAGACAAGCCTTTAAACTTTATCTTCCTGTAATGTCTTGGCAAGTCAACTTCTTTACCTAATTTCTTAAAAAATCTTCAACATTTTGCAAATTCCCTCAGATATCCAAACACACCTTGAAAGGAAACATCTAAAAATCAGACAAAAAATCCTGCATGCTCCACAGTGCCTCATATTATTTTTAATCACTGAAATATAAGAACAAAGAATTCAGTCAATGGTATAACTGTCAATCTAAATCTATGATGATTTAAACAAAACTAAAAATTTCCTAGATCACTAACTACATGGAAAAAAGTAACTATGACTTTAAGGGCAGAGACTTAGATAGGAAAATGAAAAGACTTACTGTTAACATGTGTGTGTCTAATTCTGGAGGATCAATCAATCTAGCCACAGATTCCATGAAGACAAAAAGAGCTATTACCATTAGAAAAAGTCCATTAATGAATCCAGAGAGAATTTCTATTCGGCCATACCTAAAAGAGTAAGGCATAGTTTTAGAAAAGAATCATGATAAATACTTTTAAAAGTACAAATATCATTACTTTGTAAACGAGAAATTATTTTCAAGCTACATAAATAAGACATTTACCAACATTTTAAACCACTCTGAATGCTTAAAATATGTTCACTAACAGCCTTTCCTAATTTCTCAGCAAAAGTTGGTTTCCTTTCTTAAGCCCTGTTCTCTGAATTTCTCAGATACATGGGGTACTGCTTTGTACCAACATATTTATCTTCCGATCATCATTTTTCAAAATATAAAGAAATGAATGCAACATTATATTGATCTTATAGAACCATACGGTATTTAATGTGGCTCTTCTGTCCAAATCTCTAAATCCAACCAAATGGCCTTTTCCTGCATGGGTCTGGCAAGAAGGTGAGGGCGGTACTGACAGGATTCATCTGAGTAATTGTGAACAGGATTTCCTGGAGTGCCAACCTGCTGTGTATAAAATGAGTCCTCTGAGAAGGAGAACAGGGATCTCAACACCGGCAAGATCCAAGAGTGGACCGAAACCTCTGGACCCAAGATCCCTGTGTAGTGAACCTCCGGGATCCAGAAGATAGCTGTAACACTAGAGAGACTGCAGAACCAGGAGTCAGAGCATGGAAGAGTAGTGCACTTCCCAACCCAAGGAGCAAGTAAAGCTGATGCTTCTGGGCAGGAGGCTGGCTTATGGAATGAGGTGCCTCTGGGTACTTAATTTGGGAGCTGGGCTTGCTCATTCATGGAGCTTGAGCGGAATGCCTTTGGGTTAAGGCTTGCAGTGGCATGCCCCTCTGGGGATTTATTAGCTCATTTGAAAGAACTTTGTAACATGTCCTGACAACCAACCACCCTGAGCATTCTCACTGGCATTACAACCTGTTAATAAACCCTTCAATCATGAGTTTTGTCTGTAGGGAATGTGTAGCCATTGTAAACTAAAGAAGTAAAATAGAGAATACTAAAGACCAATCTACTCAGAGTAAGTCTTATCAAAAGACCTTGGGTGCTAGATTTGTAGAAGTGAATTATCTCCTTAATGAAAGGATATTTTCCTTTTATCCAGTACTCAGTAAAAAAAAAAAATAGGGGCGCGTACAGCTCCTATCACAATCCATACATCTATCCGTTGTGTCAAGCACATTTGTACATATATTGTCATCATTTTCGAAACATTTCTTTCTACTTGAGCCCTTGGTATGGGCTCACTTCCTACCCCTCCCCCCTTGATAATTTATAATTTTCTTCATGTCTTACATGGATTGCTGTCTCCCTTTACCCACTCTTCTGTGGCCCCACCCCCTGGGAGGGGGTTATATGTAGATCATTGTGATTGGTTCCCACATTCTCCCCCCACCTTCCCTTCCTCTCCTAGTATTGCTATTCTCATGATTGGTCCTTAGGGGTTTATTTGTCCTGGATTCCCTGTGTTTCCAGCTCTTATCTGTACCAGTGTACATCCTCTGGTCTAGCCGAATTTGTAAGGTAGAAGTGGGGTCATGGTCATGGTGGTGGTGGGGATGAAGCATTAAAGAACTAGAGGAAAGTTGTTATGTTTCATTGGCGCTATACTTGTGACCCTTCTGTAAGGGGATGTCCAATTGTCTAGGGATGGGCTTTGGGTCTCTACTTCGCGCTCCCCTTTATGTACATTGATATGATTTTTTGTTCTGGGTCTTTGATGCCTGATACCTGATCCCATCTACACCTCAGGATCACACAGGTTGGTGTGCTTCTTCCATGTGGGCTTTGTTGCTTCTGAGCTAGATGGCTGCTTGTTTATCTTCAAGCCTTTAAGACCCTAGATGCTGTATCTTTTGATAGCCAGGCACCATCAGTTTTCTTCACATTTGTGTAGGCACCCATTTTGTCTTCAGCAATCATGTTGGGAAAGTAAGCATCACAGAATGCCTGGTTATTAGAACAAATTGTTCTTGTGTTGAGGGAGTACTTAAGTAGAGGCCCAAGTACTGTCCGTCCGCTACCTTAATGCTAACATATAAATATATGTACATAGATTTCCCGATAATTACATATAAATATATTTACATATGAACATGCCTGTATTTAGACCTCTATAAATGTCTTTTATCTCCTAGTTCTTTCCTCTATTTCCTTTTATTTTCCTCTTGTCCCACTATCAGGTTCCGCTTTTATTCAGGTTTCAGTAATTCCTCTTGGTTACATTGCCCTTGATCAAGCCCCACCAGGCATCCTATGCTCTCCTTGCCATTGATTTTAGATCACTTGTTCCCCCGCCCCTGGGTTTGTTAACAACCGCCCGCCCCCTCTGCCTCCCCTTTCCCGTGTCCCCCAAGAACTGTCAGTCTGTTTTTTTCTCCTCTGGATTGAAAGGATATTTTCATTTCTTCTCTAAGAAGCATTTGCACTTTTTCGGACAGTGCCACACCACATGGATGGTCATACCTACCCAAAGGAGAAAATCCGAGTTGCTTTCCATCGACTCATCAGGGCAGCAAAAAGTCCCATGACCAAAGCAGAGCAGTCAAAGAGCATGTGAAACCCATCGGAGATCAGACCCAGACTATTGGTCAGCATGCCATAGAACAATTCCACAAAGGTAAAAAGCTAAAAAAGTTATGAGAAAGGGGAGATGTTAGAAAAGATTGTTTCAATATAGATTTACCTCTTATTTGAAGAAATAATACAACTCTGCCTCTTTGGATGCTTAACTGCAATCTATATTGGAAACCTATAAACTTTAACAAAGACAAAGCAAAATCAGTTACATCTTTTAATTATAAATTAATTAAATGGAGAGTTTTATGCATATGTATATAATAATAAACTAGGCTTCAAAACGCAATCATTGGGTCTATAGTGGGATCCACTAAAGAGCAGATAAAATATTTAAAAACTACTATGTTTATTGATTTGAAATAGTATACCATATGAGTTAATTTTAAAATGCCTCAAAATTATTTATTTAGATAGCCTGAGAATGACCCTACTACCTTGAGGGATAGTACATTTTATTCTATCTCTAATCATCAGAAATATAGGAATTACCAGAACTGTCAAAATTAGAATAGTAAGCTGTTAAGACATGCCACTAATATTTTAAAATCTTACCATATTCAAGCACAAGAAGTAAAAGATCTGCCTAGAATCACTCTCCTCAAGAATTTGTTTCAGTGATTCTTTAATAAACCTAGGGATGGATTGAGAGCTATGCTGGAGAGCATCGCCCATGGAGTTATAAAGAGGTGTTCCTTCAGGGGAATATCCAATAAGGGTACCTTTCTGTCCTCTCTTAGAGGGAGATGATAGGATATTGGCAGCTACAAGAGGAAGAAAATAAAAGGGGGCACAATTACAAAAGATTTAAAACCTTATGTTACCAAAACCAACATGCTGTCCGCACCAAATACAAGCACTGAACAATTTTTGAAAATTAGTTACTTGAACATCACAGTCTGTAAAATAACGTTGTGTAAATGAAAATAAGGGGAAAATGCTTACACAAAATGAAGAATATAGCACTCACTACCACTCCTCCAGACAGGACATGCTCGGTGGTCTCCTGGTGTGCTGGCCTGTTCATAGATCGAAGCTGGTCTGTGAGGGGGTGTGTCCAAAAATTCCCAAAAAGGAGAGCACTAATGAAAACGGGGAAGGATCCATAGCGGGCACATTTGGAAACGTCCATTTTGGTGGAACAAACGGAATCCACATAGAAGTCCAGGATCATAACAAAAAAGATCACCGTGGTAAAAGGCATTATGAGAGAAAACCAAGATTCAACTTTACTCTAAAAAGAAAAAAGAAACTTTTATTACTATATGGGCCAAAAGTTCCCATCTTATGTTTTACTTATGCTTGCATATAAGCCAATATTCTCAGCTTTCAACATGATTCATAAAACATCAAAACATAAGCAGTGTTAGACATTGGATATATACACACACACACACATATATTTTAAATTTTATTGGGGGCTCTTACAACTCTTATCACAATCCATACCTCCATCATGTCAAGCACATTTGTACATTTGTTGCCATCATTTTCTTTAGGGCTCATACAACTCTTACCACAATCCATACACATCAATTGTGTAAAGCGCATTTGTACATTCATTGCCCTCATCATTCTCAAAACATTTCCTCTCCATTTAAACCCCCG